CTGGCAGGCACCGGCCCCATCAGCCATTGGCTGAGAGGATCCAGTAGTGATTGATGGAGCTGGCCATGGGGCAGGGCATGTGCAATAATACACGTGTGCCAGTGTGTTCCACCACGGGTGTGCGAGCGCTGGTGCAGGTGTCTGTGTGCATGTGTGTGGGGGTTGGGGGAGAGCGTGTGAGCATGTGCACTTTTGTGTGCATGTGTCAGAGGTTGTGGGTGTGCATGTGCATGTGCACGGGTCTGCGTGTGCAAGTGTGCGTAGCCACACCCCTCCTGGCTAGGTTGTGCATGAGCATGTCCTTGTGGGCATGTGTGACCCTGGGCAGCCGGCGAGACCAGCCCAGACAGCAGAGTTTTGTGTGTGTGTCTGTGTATTCTCGCACGTGTGGGTATACATGTGAGTATGTACTCACATGTGTCTGTATATGTATGGGTATACACTCACATGTGTGCATATACTGCATGTGTACACTCGCCCATGTGCATATACTCACGTGTGTGTGTGCGTGCACTCATGTGCAGGCTTATGTGTGTGTACACTCACACAAATGTGTGTGTGTGTGTGTGGACATTCATGTGCCCCCAGTCCCTGCGTGTGCCAGGTGCTCTGTGCACCCCTGTCCGTGACCAAGTCTGGGGGTTGCATTTACATATAGCTGCATGTGCACATGTGTATGCTGGCATGGAGGTTGGCGTGTGCATGCTTGCACTGACATGGGTGTGTGTGCACATGCCTACAAGTGCGTATTGACCTGCCCTGCACGTGTGCATGCACTTGCATGCACGCACGTGTCCAGGTGTGCTCGCCTGCAGGGGGGCTTGCCTATACCTGTGCCTGTGTGCACAGGGGGCAGCTGGCACATGCATGTGCATGTTGGCACATGCAGCCATTGGCACGTGCTGGCCTGCGTGTGTGTGCAGAGGGCTCCCAGCACCAGCACCCCCCACTCCGTGACCCCAGCACCCTGGCACTGATCCCCCCTCCCCATTTCTGCCCCTGGCAGGTTCTTCCTCAAGTTCTTCCTCAAGTGCAACCAGAACTGCCTGAAGAACGCTGGCAACCCCCGCGACATGCGGCGCTTCCAGGTGCGTGGCAGCCCCCCCACCCCGCGCCGGAAGCCCGTCTACACCAGGGCTCCCTCTTCCCCACCAGCTGCACCAGCCCCCAAACAGCCCTGGGCGCCCAGGGAGTCACAGGGCAGAGGGGGAAACTGAGGCATGGACACGGGGGGCTGAGTCCATGGTGCTCACAGGTGAGGGATGTGCCCCGTTCTCCTGCCCATGCGTGGCTGTCCCATGCCCTGCTCCCATGGCCCTGGCACCATCATCAGGGGCTCTCAGAGTGATATGATAATTGTGACATTTCTGCATGATTAACGACCCAGGCAATTTAGTTGCGCGGCACTGGGAGCACAGCCAATCCCCCGCCTGGATGAGTCGTGCGGGTGCGGGGAGGGGCCCCTGGGCGGTGCTGGGCCCCTCGACCACCAGGCCTGGGCAGCAGAGGATGCCCGGCTGTGAGCGGCCGTGCCAGCTGCCAGCACCGGCATTCCCACAATGCACCAAGGCAGTGGTCTGGAGGGAGGTGGGGGGCGCGGCGTGTGACTGGCTCTGTGCCCACAGGTGGTGGTGTCCACAACAGTGAACGTGGATGGCCACGTCCTGGCCGTGTCCGACAACATGTTCGTGCACAACAACTCCAAGCACGGGCGGCGGGCGCGGCGCCTTGACCCCTCCGAGGGTGAGTCCTGCTGGGGTCAGGGGTCAGGTACCCCAAGGGGGCATGCTGCAGGTGGAGGGGTCCTGGGCTGCGGCAGTGGTGGGGGCTTCCCCATGGCCTCCGTCATCCGTGCACTGCTAGCTCTTCCGGGCTGGTTCCCCCATGCAGACACACATGTGCATTCAGGCGTGCTCCTGCACATGTGTACACAGGAATGTGCGTGCACACGTGTAGACAGGCAAACAGACACATAAGTCTATACAGCCACGCACATGCACGTGAATGGATGCACCTATGTACTTATGCATGCATGTACACACACATATGCACACAGGTGCATGCACATGGATGCACACGTAATCATACATACCCTCAAGCATGCACAAGCTCACACCTGTGCACTCAGACATGCACTTGGACACACATGTTTACACAGGCATGCATGTGCAGGCATGTCTATGCACACAAGCACACACACATATGCATGCACATGAATGCACCTGTGTAGTCATGCACGCACACAGATGTGCTCCTCCCACCCCCCGGCAGCTGCCACGCCCTGCATCAAGGCCATCAGCCCCAGCGAGGGCTGGACCACGGGCGGCGCCACCGTCATCGTCATTGGAGACAACTTCTTCGACGGCCTCCAGGTCGTGTTCGGCACCATGCTGGTGTGGAGCGAGGTAGGCCCGCGTGTGCATGTGGGTAGGCATGTCTGTGTGTGCATCTGTGTGTGCATGTGCACGCATGTGCATGAGCACATGGGTGTGCATGTGCACGTGTGTTTGTGTATATGTGCATGCATTAGTGCATGTACGCATGAATGTGTATGCATATGTGTGTGCATATACCTATGTGTATGTGCACGTATATCCACGTGTGCACATGTAGATGTGTGCATGTATGTGCATGCATGCATGTGTGTGTGTGTGTGCGTGCGTGCATATGTGTATGTGCCTGCATGTTGCATGTGCAGGTGTGTGTGCGCCTGTCGTATGCATGACCTTTTCCAGGCACCGTGAGGGTGGGGGATCAGTGGGGGAGTCTGCTGTGGACACCAGGCCTGACACGGCTGTGCCCCCAGCTGATCACACCCCACGCCATCCGCGTGCAGACGCCGCCGCGCCACATCCCGGGCGTGGTGGAGGTGACGCTGTCCTACAAGTCGAAGCAGTTCTGCAAGGGGGCGCCCGGACGCTTCGTCTACACCGGTGAGTCCCGGGCCCCCCCACGGGACCCAGGCATCCGGCCTCTCCATGTGCCCATGCACGTGCCACAGCCATGGCGGGGGAGGGCTTGTGGACGGGTAGGTGTGTGGGGGGACAGGCGGAGCCAGGGGGTACAGCTGCTCCCCGCCACCAGGGGCTCTGTTCTCTGCCCTGCTGGGGTTGTGCAGGTTTGGATCCATGTGTGTGCACATGTGTGATACCATGTGTGTGCACATGTGTTCCTGTGTGCATGCATGTGGCCCCATGTGCCTGTGTGGGATGTTGTACACATGTGCATGTGCTCCTGTGCACGTGTGCATGTGATCCTGGGCAGGTCTGTGCATGTGTGTGGGTGTGATCCCATGAATGTGTGTGCATGTGTGATCCTGTAAGCACGTGTATATGATCTGTGCATGTGTGCATGATCCTGCTTGTGTATCCACATGCCTATGTGCAAGATCCTGTGTGCATTTGCACCAGCCTCTGTGTGTGTGTGATCCTGTGTGAGTGTGTGAGAAAGAAAGTGAGAGAGGAGCAGCATGTGCCTGATGCTGTGTGCACCTTCCCCCCTCTGTGCACGTGTGCAACGTGTACACGTGTGGGAAGGAAAGCACTGCTACATGTGCCTGGGACCGTGTGCACAACCGTGTGTGTGTGTGTGTGTGTGCATGTCTGATGCCCTGTGCCTCTCCCCCTCCCTCCTGCTCTGTCTGACACCACGTGTGAGGCTCCCTCTGAGGGGTGGGTGTGACACCGCGTGTGCCTGACACCCAGTGTACGCAATACACCAGGTGGTATCACCCCCAACCCATGTTCATGGATATATCTGACACTGTGCATGATCTGAGTGTATGTGCACAAGCATGTGACCCTGGGTCTGTGATTCTGGGAGGAGAGAGAATCTAATGCATATGTGTCATGCATGTGTATGCATGCGTGTGTGTGTGCCCCTCTTGGCAGGGGGCTGTGGGGGCAACACGTTACCACCCAAGAGGCCACAGCCCACACGGATATGTGGCACACAAGCAAGCCAAGGGGCACACATGTGTCCAAGCATGTCCCAGGCTGGGCACAGCACCACTCCCAACCCCCATGCCCAGGGGACACCCGCCCCCTGCCCCCAGAGCCTCCTGTTGTGTGCACCAGGCTGTGGAGGGGGGGGGTCCAGCAGCCCGGACACCAGGGGCCTTCCCCACAGGGCTGTGGGGCGGGATGGGGGGTCTCGGGGGTCCCTGCCACCCCTCCTGGGATCTCACCTGCCTCCCCCCAGCGCTCAACGAGCCGACCATCGACTACGGGTTCCAGCGCCTGCAGAAGGTCATCCCCCGGCACCCCGGGGACCCCGAACGCCTGCCCAAGGTAGGGGCTGGCTGGGCAGGCGGGGGGCCACGGACCCCTGGGTTCTTCCCCTCGATCTGGGTGGGGAGGGGGATTCAGTGGCTGGAGCCGGGAGTCTGGGGGCCCGGACACCT